CAAAGAACTTTTACAGGAATATTACCACATTTGATCCTCACAACAATCCTGACAAGCAAGTGTTATTATTATCTTCATTTTATGGATAAGAAAAGTGAGACAGAGAGAGGCTAAATGACCCCAGAGTAAGCTTACCCGAGAGTATTTGCATTTTTAAAAAGGACCATTTAATATAAGAATATTTTTAAGACCCAATCAAAGGATGCAAAATGAAAGAATAAGTAGGTTCTGACTATTGTTTGGTAGCAGAAAGTCCTGCTCGACATCCCTAGAATCATGTTACATAAACCACTATTGTTGTATGTAATGAATCCACCCTACAAATATTTATTGAGCCCCTTGATGAATAAGGCATTATGCTAATTGTTGTGAGCGTTCAAAGAAAGATCATGTACAGTCCTGCCATCTCTAAATTAGTGATAAAGATAAGCTAAGGTGAAATATAAGTGTCTAATCTTTCATTTGTTCAAATACAGCCTCATTCTTAGAGACATAACCTCCAACTAAATCTTCTTAAGCTTTTCTACCATCCTCAAGCCTTACACTGACTTTGATGTAGGCTTTTAGCTTTCACGTGTATGTAATATGAAATTTGAGATTATAACAGTATAAAAGAAGAGAAACTTATCATGAACAGTGACTGAAAAATCACTATTTAGTAATTACCTTTACAGTAGTAGAGACCATTGTAGATGAGCAATAAGTTCGAATGGCTATCAACACAAAGTAGGCTTAGATTTTCTTCAGTCTAGCTTCAACTAAAGAATGGTTCTCCAAATAGTCTCCTTTTCCCGACATACATAGTGTTACCCTTCAATACTTCTGTGATTTACCTAGATGAGGGCACTCCATCTAACAATGCAGATCAAAACTTATCCATACATGCTCATCCTGTGTGACTTATCCATGTTGGCCTATAAATCCTTCACAGGAGATTTGCCCAATGCATGAAGTACCTTTTCTCTAGATTTCTTGACTTTCTGTGGATACCAGTGAAGTATATCCATCAGGTTCCTAAATCTCATTACCTGATCAGGCTCATCTCTTTTTATTTTCTGGTCAAATGTAGCTCCAATGACATCCTTTATTGCCACTTCTCCTCCACAATCTTTTGTTCATGTTTTGTAGCCTGCTTAAACCTACCATGTGCCTCTCCATGGGCATTTGTGTGGTAGGCAACATTAATTCTTGGAGGACTTTGGTTTTCCATGACTGAAAGCTAGATTACATCACCAAGAGAATATGGCCGTTTAAAAGTGTCATAATCAAAGCATTTTAGAACTGGAAAGGACCTTAGAATGCCTCGATGCCATCCCCCTCTTTAATATCTTTTCCAGAAATCAAATCTGCCCCTGTCATCTTCCCAACACTTCTCATGACTCTAGTTTTGGCTCAGGAGTGGCTTAAGGAAAAGAGTCTGGTTCATTTTGTCAGCAGGTATTTAGTCATTTTTTGCCCTTGAGATTTGACGAACACACGTAGTGTTTTTGTGAGTCATGACCATTCCATTCTCTATCACAAAAATGCTCATCTGCTTTTGTTTGGCTCCTTGATGATAAATCATTTTTAGGCATGAACTTGATGCCATGTTTCATGGAAAATATACAACCACCACAAAATAAATAGCCCTCCTATTTTTGGCCCAAAAACAACTAAATTTGGATTCTTTCCCATATTTAAATCCTGAATAATAGAATGAAAGACTAAAGTAGCTCTTCTACCCATTCAGATACCAGCACCCCCACTGCCCATTCAATAAAAAATATATGTGTGTGAGTGGGAGACAGAGAGGAAAACAGAGAGAGAGAGAGAGAGAAGGAGGAAAAGAGAAAGAGAGAGAGAGAGAGAGAGAGAGAGAGAGAGAGAGAGAGACTTAACTATAGTGTATCACCTCCTAATTCAAGTATATTAAGAATATATCTCCAGTTACATGGAGGGTCCTAGTAGAGGCTAGGCATAATGAGAATGGACAGAGTCTGAGCCAAGAACTGGATTTATTTCAAAATGAAGGAATTCTTTCCATCTGAAGGAGAAAAATGTTTATATTCATTTGCATTACTTTATCCCAACCACTTTCTGAACATGTGTGTAATGTGGTAAATATGCTCATATTCAGTATCTATATGGGCATATAAATAATCCATAATTCACTTTTACCTTTTTCAAACAGTGGTACTAGCTGGAAATTAAGAAATTATAACATGGAGATAATAAAAGCACCTACCTCCCAGGGTTGTTGTAAGGATCAAATGAGATAATAATTGCGAAGAGTTTAGCACAGTGCCTGGTACATAGTAAGCTATATATAAATGTTAGGTGGTGGTAGTGGTGGTAGTAGTTGTTTTAGTAGTAGTAGTAGTAGTAGTAGTAGTAGTAGTAGTGGTAGTGGTAGTGGTAGTGGTAGTAGTAGTAGTAGTAGTAGTAGTAGTAGTAGTAGTAGTAGTAGTAGTAGTAGTAGTAGT